AGTTACTTTTCTTATTGCTGAGACAGAATACCCAGTGTCACAAGTTAGAGGAGGAAATTTCAGCCCACAGTTGGTAGAGGTTTCAGTCCATAGTCAGCTGGCTCCAAGGCAGGGTGTCATGGCAGAGGGCATCACAGAGAGGAAATGGTTTATGGTAGGCAAGTCAGGCAGAAGGCTTTGAGCAGCAGCCTGCCTCTCCCTTTTGTACCTTCCAGGCTACCCTCCCTTTGGGTGCTGCCACCGACATCCAGCGTGGGCCTTCCCATTATCCACTCCCAGAAGTATGCCAAACCAACCAGTGGATTAATTTAGTAATTGATTTAGTAATTTAGTAATCCCAGCATCACACACCCTAGATCAGTGGTGTCGAACCTATGGCATGCATGCCACAGTGGGCATGAAGTCTTGCCTCTCAGCATATAAGCCAAATTGCCCCAGAAGCTGAGTATCACATGAGTTGTTTTTTTTATTTTTCTTTCTTTTTTTGAGACAGGGTCTTGCTATAACAGGTTTGTTTTTTTTTTTTCCTAACCTAAAACTTCAGTATTCAGGTTTAATTGCAGTGTTGGCACTGTGCGATAAATAAGTGGGTTTTGGGTTGCAGTCTGGACACTCAGTCTCTGTAAGATTCACCATCACTGTCCTAGATCCAGCCATTTCTGAAAAACTACACCTGTGGCTGCATGAGGCTTTGGGGGACAGCTGGATATAAGCCGTAACACTGTGTTAGCCTCTGGAATGCTGTGTTTACAGGAGTATGCCATACTTGGTTTGTCTGATTCTTTTTTTTTTTTTGTCTTTTTGAGGCAGGGTCTTGCTATGCAGTTCAGGCTGGCCTTGAACTCACTTTGTAGCCCAGGCTGGTCTCGAACTTGGAACAATCCTCCTGCCTCGACCTCCCAAGTGCTGAGATTACAGGCGTGCACCAACACGCCTGGCTTTCCTTTTTTTTTTGAGACAGGATCTCACTATGCAGTTCAGGCTGGCCTTGAGCTCATTTCATGGCCCAGGCTGGTCTTGAACCTGCAATGATCCTCCTGCCTCAGCCTACCAAGTGCTGGGATTACAGGCATGTGCCACCATGCTGAGCGGTTTATCTTATTCTTAATTTTAAGCTTTCCAGCAGCTTCCTACAGCAAGACAATTATTAGTTTTTATTTTTGAACTTCTTTGATTTTTTTGAGACAGGGTCTAATTATGTAGTTCAGGCTGGCCTTGAACTCACTATATAGCCCAGGGTGGCTCCAAACTCATAGCAATCCTTCTGCCTCAGTTTACTGAGTGCTAGTGTCACCACACCCATCTAGTTTTTAAAAGATAGAGTTTTAAATACTTTTTAAAAATTAAAAATTTTTTGCAGTTTGTAGCTGGAAGTGGTGGTGCACACTTGTAATCTCAGCAGTTGGGAGGCCGAGGCAGGAAAATCATAAGTTTGAGACTACACTGGACTACATAGCAAATTCAAGGCTAATCTGGACTGGTCATTTTTTTTTTTTTTTTTGGCATTGGGTACCGGGAATCAAACTCAGGACCTCAAGCTTGCCAAGCAAGCGCTTATGCCACTGAGCTACATCCCTGGCCCTAAACTGGATTATACAGTAAGATACTGTCTCAAAAAAAACCAAACCAGGGGGCTGGGGATTTAGCTCAGCGGCAAAAGCGCCTGCCTGGCAAGCACAAGGTCGTGAGTTCGGTTGCCGGTACCGGAGAAAAACCAAAAAAAAAAAAAAAAAAAAAAAACCAAACTAGTGGTGTGTGGTCAAACATGGCTATAATCCCAGCACTTAGAGGCTGAGGTAGGATCACCATCAGTTGGAGGCCAGCCTGAACTATATAGTGAGACCCTGTCTCAAAAAGACAAATAACAACAACAACAAAAACCCCAAAAATAAAAAAACTGGTTCTAGGGATGGAACCCCGAAGCTACACCTCCAACCCATGAGCGACACCACCAACCCAAAAGATAACTTTTTTTGTTTGTTTATTTCAGGTACTGAGATTGAACCCAGGGACCACTGAGCTACATCACCAGCTTTTTTTTTCTGGTGGTACTGGGGATTGAACCCAGGGCCTTGTGCATGCAAGGCAAAAAATCTACCACTGAGCCATATCTGTAGCCCTTTACCCTAGCCATTTAAAAATTTTATTTTGAGACAAGAGTATTGTTAGTTTGCCCAGACTGTTCTCAGACATGCAATCCTGCCTCATCCTCCTGAGTATCGGGGATTATAGGTATGTGCCACCATGCAGAGCAAAATACAACTTTTAATACAGCCATTCATCTTGAGTCACTGATCTGGAGATTTTTGTCTTACTTGTTTGTTTGTCTGTTTGTTTTTGGAGACAGTCTCTCGCTATGTAGTTCAGGCCAGCCTTGAACTCACTATGTATCCCAGGCTGGCCTCAAACTCGTGACAGTTCCACCTCAGCCTCTCAAATACTGGGGTCACAGGCATGTACCACCATGCCTGACTGCTTATTTTCTTTAAGAAAGATTTCTTGCAACATGTAGTGATACACATCTGTAACCCCAGAATTCTGAGTAGCTGAGTCAGGAAGATGACAAGTTCAAACACAGCCTGGGCAACTCAATGACTTAACAAGACCCTGCCTCAAAGGAAGGGCTGAGGACATAGCTCAGTACAGAGGCCCTGGGTTCAGTACCCTAGTACTGCCAATCAGTCCATTTATTTATTTATTTATTTTGAGGCGGGGCCTTGCTATGCAGTTTAGCTGACCTTGAGCTCACTTTGTAGCTCAGGCTGGTCTCAAACTTGTGGCAATCCTCCTGCCTCAGCCTACCGAGTGCTGGGACTATAGGCGTGCGCCGCCACTCCCGGCTTTTCAATCCATTTAAAAACAAAATTTCTTTTGTCTTTTCTCTTATTCTCAGTCCTGGGGCTGCCTAGTGTACACAGGACTGAGAAAGGAGAAAGAGAAAAAGTCCAAACAGGAATGTTTCTTCACGGAAAGGCAAAGGTATGAAGAGCCAAGAGTATCTGTGTCCTTTGTAGGCCTGCCTGATTTGTCCTGTTGGCCTCAGGGCCCATCCTTTCTTAGCAGGGACATGCTGCTCACTGCTGCCCTCTAGTGGAAAGACTGTGAAACATGCTGAACTGGGCAGCACCCATCGCTGTGGAGAAGGGCCAACCCGGTCCCTTTCTGGTCCCCCAGCACTCCCTACCCCTATGACGTTGTGGCTCTTACCTGCTCGTGTTGTCTCACACAGTTTATCCACACATATACATTGACAGGTTGAGCGACTGCCAGAGCTCGAATCTGGGCTTAAATATTCCATTAATTTCTGAGTCAGACTTCTGTGAAAACTCGGTTTACAGTGAGTTGTTTTGTTTTGTCTTGTGGTTCCGGAGGTGGAGCCCGGGCTTCACAGCTGTTGAGCACTCTATGTACCACCGAGCTGCACCGCACCCTTATGTTACTTACAGCGGGAAATGAAATGCTTTCTTAATGAGTTCAGAATCCATGAAGGATTCTCAGATAGTACAGAAAGGGTAGGATAAAGTCAGTTTACTGTGGTCATTCAGTTTGGAGACTCAGCAGTGTGGTTGGTTTTTTTTTTAGTGTGGTTTTTAAAGGTTACTTTCACTGATGATAGGTTTAGGTTTTTCGGGGGAGCCATAATTTAGCCTTTTCTCTTTAGTGGGGACAGACCCTGATGGCAGGATGACAGATTCTTCCTGGTGCTGGGTTGGTTTCTTTTCATGCAGTTGCAACTAAGACACATTGACTGCCTTCCAAAGGGACGTGACTTCTCAGCTGCAGAACACCAAGAAGTCACGACTTCCACAGCCCTGAGGGGACGGGTGGAGGTGTTCGTGAGGACAGTACTGACAGCACTGACAAGTCAATGTGCTGGGCAGCGACCAAACTCACTGCTTTATACATGGAGCTGCATATCATGCCCCAGTACCTTTGCAAGAGACAGATGCTGTCATTATCCCTATCTGACAGAAGGGGAAACTGAGGCCTACAGAAGAAGAAGGTTGTCCAAGGCCTCTGAGCTGATGAGTAGTAGCAGCAGGATTTGAACCTAGGCAAAAGCCGAGACTTGCCCAGCATGTAGCGAGTGGCCTCCTGCATACCCCATGAAGGCCGAAGTAGTGGCCTGCTGTGTGCTGGGATGAAGGAGAGATGGGCAGGGAGGCCATGGGGGAGGTTGCAGGGTGGACTCCGCTGCCCAAGCAGGCCAGGCCCTGGATCTGGGTCCAGGGTGGGCACGGAGGCTGGGAGTGGGGCGGGCCTGGGACCAGCAGCCTGGAATCACCTCAGTCCAAGTTGCAACCTAAGAGGCTGCTGTGCCGCTGTGCCTCTCCCACTGCTCTGGGTCTCTGGGGGTCCCGGTGACCTTGAGAGGGCAGGATGTCACTGCTTGCATGAAAAGGTAAAATTTAGTGCTTGAGGGATGAATGTTTTCTAAAACATGGCTTTTCTGCTTTGGTCTGAGTGTGTTTTTCAGAAAGTCCACGGGCAATCAAACTGTTCCCAAGTCCTCACTGGCGTTCGCGGAGGACTTGCTTTCCTCCCGTGCTCACTGACGTGGGCCGGGTCCCAGCACCTCCCTCCCTGGCTAAGCCGCAAGGTCCTGCTGCACATGCCTTCCTCTTGGGTATCTCAGCGGGTGCGGGTTTCACAGTAATCATGGCCCACCTTTCTGTTGTTTTTGGGTATTTTGTTTTTTGTTTTTGAGACAAGGGTCTTGCTATGTGGCCCAGGCTGGCCTCGAACTCCTGAGCTCAGTGATCCGGCTGAGCACTGTGCCTGCAGGGTCATCGTGGCCCACCTTGCAGTGGGGCTGTGCATGGGAAGGGAGCTGTGGGCACTGTGTGGAGTCGAGCCATCCTGTGACTTGCACTGCAAGGGAGATTTGCGTCCACCACCTTTAGCTGGGGCCCCGAGGAGATAGCTTGTGGTCCGTGGTGAGACCACAGGGGACCAGGCGGGCCAGGTGAGGGTGATGTTGGCCTTCTCCTCCCTGCCAGCTACCAGAGATTCACTGATTGTTACAAGCACTTCCACCAGCTGCAGCCTGAGATGACCCAGCAGATCTACGACAAGTTTGTCACTCAGTTGCAGGCATCTATCCGGGTGAGTGGCCGGAAGCCCGCAGGCACCACTGGCTTGGCTTTTATCTCTAGATTGTCATGCCCCAGGGCGGTGACCTGTCTCCTCCATGCCCAACAGGCAGCAGGCCCAGTCACCCCTCCCTCCCGTGAGCACCCTAAATGCCCCCTTTCCTCCTTGTCCTGTGTTGTAATTACGTTTTTCCATCCCCTGAGTTTAGGGAGGGCAGGACAGAGCCTCAGTCGTCTGTGCACCTCCTGCTGCCGGGACAGTGCGTGGCTCCGAAGAGGCATTTACTACTGGAGATGCAGAAAAAGATGGGGCTCCATCCCCGTGGCTGCGCACCACTACGTCCCTGGAGTCAGACTCCCCACTGTCGCTCCAGGACAGTCCTGCGAAATGTCAGTCACAGTGCATGCAGTCAGCCAGGGGCACTGAGTGGCAGGAGCAAAGACAAGCAGGGAGAGGCTTCCTGCAGACTTCTTGGAATGTTTGCCATTTATATCTTATTTTCTTTTTTTTTTTTTCAGTACAGGGAATCGAACTCACGACCTCGCGCTTGCTAGGTAGGCACTGTGCCACTGAGCTAAATCCCGAGCCCTCTATTTTCTTAATTATAAAGGCCTCACCAGGGATGTAGCTCAGTGGCACAGAGCCTGCCTGGCAAGCTTGAGGTCCTGAGTTCAATTCCCGGTACAAAAAAAAAACCTATTATAGAAAAGTTGGAATTTCGGGGAAGGTAAAAAGACACAATAGAAATTAGCCAAATCTTCCTGAGTGGGGTGCCCCAGTTAGCATATTTCTACCCCGGGCTGGTCCAGTGTCATTACCACTCTTTCCTCCTTTTCCTTAGGAGGAAATCTCAGAAATTAAAAAGGAGGGGAACCTAGAAACTGTCTTAAACTCCTTGGATAAAATTGTGGAAGACGGCAAAAACCGCAAGGAGCCCGCCTGGTGAGAAGGAGGCGTAGGACGTGGCAGCCACCAGCTCCTAGGCTGACCCATGCACGGGGGACGTGGGACTGGGGCCCTAAGAGGGCAACACACAGCAGACTCGACCCGGGGACAGCTGGTGGGCAGAGTCCTCCAGGGAGGACGCCTAGGGCGCAAGCAGCTGCCCAGGCTCCCAGAGGCTGTGGCCTGTGAGAGAGGGGCGCAGAGGGGAGAGGGAGGAGGCAGGAGCAAGGCTTGGTTACACATGGATCGGGCTGGTCAGGCACCTGGCTTTGATTTCTTCGTTCCTTAAGTGAATGTTTAAAGAGCACCTACTGCATGCTCAGTGCTGTCACAGATGCTAGAGCTTTGGCAGTGACAAGCTCCCCAAGCTGACACTGTGTGCAGTGGAGAGAGATGGGGCCTGGCCTCTGGCCGGCCACTACCCTCGTGTCCCTCACGGGCCTCAGGCTTGCCGTTGTATTATGCTCTGTGACCTTAGTACCTAAGAGAATGAAGTTTTACAGTTGGAAAAGAATTTTGAGAAGAACCTCCAGTGGCTGAGGTAATTGTGCCTCCTCGGAACCACTTTCCTTATGTTCCCTCACTAGCCCGCTGGTCCTGGGCCCCGCAGGGTCTGCGCTATCTCTCAGAGCCACCCCAGCTGCCACCACCCTGCTCACGCCAGCTCACAGCACAGTCACCTCGGCCCTAGGCTGCTGGAGAAGGGATTGTGCGTGGGAGAGAAGAGCACTTGGGGTGCAGGGGAAGGCTGGGCACAGGACTGAGTGCAGTGACACCGGGGTGGGAGGTGCGCTTCCGTCAGGGCAGGTCTGGGGGTGCAGGGGCTCATGGGAGAGGTCTTGGAGCAGCTGCCTTGAGACTGGAGCGGGGATGGCACTCCTTGGGTTTGGAAGTGGGACCCTCCCATTCATGTGTCATTCCCTCATCCCTGGCCCCATGCGGCCCCCAGGCGCCCCAGTGGGACCCCAGAGAAAGACCTGTGCAGCGTCCTGGCGCCCTACTTCCTACAGCAGCGGGATACCCTCCGGCGCCATGTGCAGAAGCAAGAGGCCAAGAACCAGGAGCTGGCGGCAGCCGTCCTGGCAGGGCGCAGACAAGTGGAGGAGCTGCAGCGGCAGGTGCAGGCCCGGCAGCAGGCCTGGCAGGCAAGTGCTCAGTCCTGCCTGCTCTCCCTTCCGCCTCTAGTAGGTCCTTAGGAATCTCCAAATTGGTGGCTTCCCCTCTCCCAACATAAGAGAACCCATGGGGAGCAAGGCTGCTGCCTCGTTAAAGTACGCACATGATGGTGACTTCTGGAGCTCATACAGCTCCACTGTCCCCCAGCAAGGGGCCATTCAAGAGTGAACTTGAGGGGCTGGGGATTTAGCTCAGCGGCAAAGCGCCTGCCTGGCAAGTGCAAGGTCGTGAATTCGGTTCCCGGTACCGGAAAAAAAAAAACAAGAGTGAACTTGATTTTTTGCAAGTGGCTTCAGGTAAATGACGGGGAGAAGGTCGATGCTGCACAGCAGCGCATAGGTGATGGGATGGACTTGCGCTGGGAGGCTGCTGGTAGGCCTAGTGGTGACACTGATGGATTCTTTCCATCCATCATGTGAACATCCAGCTTATACCCGCCAGTGGCCACTGGACAGCCACTTGCTGGGGCAGACCCTCCTGTTTTTAAGGCAAGCAGGTATCCACATCCTTGGCTCTCGGATGCCCTGATCTGCTCTGCCCAAGACCACTCAGCTGCAGCCCAAAGCTCCTGCCTTGGCTTTGGCGAGGTGGCAACAGGGGGAAGGCTGTTGGTCTGCTTTCTCTGCCCTTCAAGTTTCCTCATGTCACAGGCTGGTCCTAGGGGACCAGACAGCGGGTGTAAAGGTCGCAGTGACCTCCACTTAGTGCTCTCTCTTGGGTCAGGATACTCAGCTGAGTCGTGTCCTGGGCACTCAGGCCTCATGCTGAGTCCTTGAGCAAAACACTCGGCCTCTGCCACACAGCGCCACCAGGCCCTGGGGCCATCCCGTCACTAGGCCCTAGTTTCTATGTTGGCCAAATACTGATCCTCAGGGCTCCACTGGCTCTGATGCTTAGGGCTCCTGTTTTAAGAGGGAGAAGGCAGCACCTGCTCCTGAAACCACATGTACCCGTCCCAGCTATAGATCCTGGTGTCCCTGGAAGTGGGTCGCTCACATTGGTGCTCAGTGCTGAGCTCTGTATCGGAGCTCCAGAGTTTTGTTGTCTACAGCCCAACTGGAAGTTGACTTAGGCTGGGATGTACCTCTGTGGTAGAGTTGTGCCTAGCATGTGTGAGGCTTTGATGAGGTCAGAGGGTTGGGGGATGCCACTTTGGGGGCTTTTGTTGACTATGGCCATGGCAGCTCACCTGGCACAAATACCTCCAAGTGGTCGGGACTTCCTGTGTGCCTCTGACCTAATGTGCCTACTGGGCCAGTGACAGGAGAGAGATCCTTCTTGTGTTGTCCAAGGGGAAGGCTGGCCCGGAGTTTGGTGCCACCGAGAGAAAGGGTTTGGTTTCCTCAGACCCTGACAGGGCTGTTCTCTGCCCGATTCAGGCTCTGCACAGAGAACGCCAGGAACTGGCAGCGGTGCTGAAGGAGCCCGAGTGAGCGGCACGGCGGGCCCTGGAGTGGAGCAGAGGGCGGTCAAGGTCACGGCCCATGGCCAGCGTGCTGGGTCCTAATCCAGAGGACAGATGAAACGGTGCCCGTCCCAGAACCAGCTGGAGCAAGGCATACTACCTCTGCGCCACTGCGGCTCCCTCAGGGGTCATTGCCACTCCAGATGACTCCCCATTGTCTTCTACCCTGGGAGTCAGATGCTGGGCTTTCTCTCGGCTCAGTGCAGGCCAGCATTGTCCCCTACACCCTCCTGCTTCCTGAACCCCACCTCCGGCCAGGAATATTTTCAATCTCCACTGATTGCCATCTTGCTGGCCAGCCCAGGGGCACTTGCCATGTTCTGCCCACATCTGTAAATAAACTTCCTCTGCTACACTGTAATCTTGGAGGATGCTTCCACGCCTGGTGTCGCCTTGGCCAAGACTGGCTTTGGGGCATCTGCCCAAGCAACTGCACATCAAGCTTGCAGCCGCCGTCCATGAGAGCCTGGTGGGGGTAGGGGGGTTGTGTTGGGCATCATGAGAAGAGGGCAACACAGACGAGGACTCTGGGTTCCCTGGAGTGAGGACAAGTTGCCGAGGGTTGGCACTGTCCATCCTTGCCCCACCTCTGCCCTCTGGGTTAATTCTGAAATTCTGAGGTGGCAGTGTCACTGTGTAAGTAGGGGGCTCCAGGAAGCTGGGTCTCCTTGCTTTGATCTCCAGCCAGGGCCCTTAAAAGCAGGATGGTGCTTTCAGGGCTTTTCCTTGGGAAGCCTCGCCCTAGCCCTGCAGGCAGAGGCCTGGTGAGGTCTGTCAGGACAGACAGGAAGACATCAGGTGGTGCTGCTTGAACTCCAGTCCCCTCCAACTGAGCCCAACTCCATCTTCCCCTCTGCCCAGATCCTCCCTCCTGCCCAGTGCCATCGAGAGCTTTGTTATTTGTGAGGCTGGGCAGACATTGATCCCTGGTGGGCGGCATGTGAGCGAGGCCATGGGCCAGAAGGGAGGTGCCAGTCAGGCACGGGGCATTTCAGGCTGGGGTGCTCTGGCCTTTTTGGAGGAATGTTCCATCTCCCTGTGGCCCTGGCTGCTAGGGTCCCAGAAGCGGGGCTGCATTGCAGTGCCCACCCCCGTCCTGCGTCCTGTGGACCTGGCACTTGTAGCCACCTACCCTGCCTGGAGGCGGAGAAGCTGTCCTTATCTCACAGCCCACCACCCCGCCTGCTGCTTCTTGCCCTGCTGCCCTGACCCTTCTGTCCTGATGTGTAGCCCTGAGTAGCCGAGCTGCCCTTTTGGTTTGCTGGTGGGTGAGGGCATTGCCAGCCTGGCCCTCCCTGGGGTTTGGCTCCTGCCCCCAAGGCAGACAGTGCAAATCACAGCCTGTGAGAGACCCTGCTCTTTTCAAACCTATTTTAGAACTCAGCCCCCCTTCCCCTGTAGGCTCTCCCTGAGCCCCAGAAAATATTCAGCCTTAGGCTGGGGGTCTCCAGAGAAGACAGCAGGGGCTGGAGGAGGGGCAGCCCTCTGAGAGGCTGGGGCAGCATCCAGGGGTTGACAGTCTCAGGTTGCGCCCACCTTCCTCCCTCACCCCCAGGGCCCAGCCCAGGCAGCCGCAGCGCCCAACCACAACATCCTCTGGGCTTTGGCCCACAGAGCCCGGGTAGATGACCCCCAATTAGCCCTGGCAGCCTCCCCTGTGTCCCGCCCGCCTGACCCATGGGCAGCCACAGCCCCCTCGCGGGGGCCCAGCCCAGTGGATATAAACAGTGCTGGAGCTGGAAGGGGCAGACCAGCTGAGTCCCTGCAGCAGCCCGGACGCCAAGCCCACAGGCACCATGAAGGCCTTCACACTGCTCGCCCTGCTGGCCCTGGCTGTGCTCTGCCTCGCTGCCTGGGCAGGTGAATGTCCTCTCCCCTCCGGGGCATAGCCCCAACTCTCCTCACCCTTCTTTCTTCTACTCTCACTGCCCTCCCGAGGCTCAGTCCACTTGTCTCCGGATCCGTCCGTGGAGGCAGAGGCAGGGGAATGAGCGGGGTGAACTGGCTCCCTCTTTCTGCAGATGGGAAGCACAGCGGCGCAGAGTCTGGCAAGCGTGCAGGTAAGCTGGGCCCGGCAAGGGCAACGCTCAGGACCCACCCTCGCCCCACGTACCCACCCCTGCCACTTTTTGCTGGGCCGTCAGGGAGGCCAGCCCGCTCCCCAGCCCATCATCCTCCCAAGCCCAGAGCCACCTAATGCCTGCGCTCTGCCCCACAGCCTTCTTGTCCAAGCAGGAGGGCAGCGAGGTGGTGAAGAGACCCCGGCGCTACCTGAACCAAGGGCTGGGGTAAGAGGGGGAGGTGCCGGGCCAGCCCTGCGGCTCTGGGGTGTCCCCACAGGAGTCATGGTGCAGAGTGGCCTCCAGACACTGCAGGGCCGTTGGCCAGGCCACTCCGTCCTCCCTGGTGGGCACTCTCCAGCCCCATGTGCAGTGGGAAGAGAGGATGGCACTTTGCCTGGGCTGATGCTACTGTGGGGGGCTTCTCAGAGCCCCGGCCCCTGCCCCAGATCCCCTGGAGCCCCAAAGGGAGGTGTGTGAGCTCAACCCAGACTGTGACGAGCTGGCGGACCACGTCGGCTTCCAGGATGCCTATCAGCGCTTCTACGGCACAGCCTAGGATGGCTGCTCCTCCGGCCGCCCACAGCCCCACTGCCTCTGCTCCACACCCAGACCCTCCCCTCCCCTTGCCCCCTCTCTGCCAGCCTTCGGGGGGATACAGCCTGGCTACTCCCAAATAAAGCCCAGAGGAGGAACTGGTGGTCTGAGTCTGTCCAGTGTGCAGAGCTGGAAGCGAGGGAGGGAGGAAGATTCAGCCGATGCAGAGAGGAAGCTCTACCTTCTTGAGTCTCAGAAAGTGTTTCCCAAGTCCAGTTTATTTGGTGCATCTGCTCTGTTCCAGAAAGCATTGAAGCTGGCTTCCTAAAGTCTAACTGGGGTCGCCCCTTGAGCCCCGTACCCTTCCCCACCCGTGCTCCATCCACACCATCCAGCCTCCAAGGCCTGGACACCTTGAGGACACAGCTGTGCCCAAAACAGACAGTCTCTGTCACAAAAAGCTGCTGGCACCCCGGGCACTGCCTGCTTCTGGTGGGGGCAGAAGGTGGCTCCGGGCCTGGTTAACGAGCATTGGGGCAGGCCTGTGTTAGTCGTGTCAGCTGTTCTGGGCCGAGCTGACTTCAGGAGCACTGGAAACGCAGCCAGATGAGGGCCAGATGCCCCCTCCTGGGCCTGGACACACACATCTCCCCTCACAGACCCTCAGCACATCCGTCGCCCACATGTGCCTCCCATGGTCCCCATCGCTCTCTGCCGATGATCTTGATGTCCCTCGTCTCCTGTGCCTTCTCTCAGACCTTCCTTAGCCACTCTTGTTCCAGGCTCAGCTGTGCCACCACCTCAGGTTGCAGCCCTGGGACTAGGTCTCTGCTGCCCTCCAGCTGGGGACAGAAAGGGACCTTACTGTTCTTTGGCCTGGGATCCCCCGTCTGCTGGGCCACCCTGCAGCAGGGGGCACATTCCAGGAACCCGAAGCAGGGAGGCTGTGAAGGCGGCAATGATGAGCAGGTTTCCGGCCACCGCCAGGCCCAATGTGGCCACCGTGCCCTGCAGGCCTAGGGGTGGCTCCTGCGTGGCCAGCCAGGCTCGGCGTGATCCCATATCAGCTAGCACTGCCTCCAGCTGGAAGTGGGTACCCAGGACGGCACAGATGTGGAATAGCTGGTGGCTGTGGCCTGCAGGGAGGGGGCAGGTCAGGGCGCATGCCCGTTCTGAGGCTTGCCCTGACTCACCATCACTCAGGGCAAGCTGCCCATCTTCTGGGCCTACTACGCCCAGAGTGGGTGGAGGGAGTGTCTAAGCTGATCCCCTAGCACAACTGTCACTAGTTTTGCTGCCACAGAGAAGTGGAGAGGAGGAGGGGCCTGAGGAAGAACAGCGAGTTCTTCTTGTCCTTTGCTCCCACCCTCAGCCCATGCTCCCCATTTACTGAGCCTTCGGGTGCTTTGGGAAGCTGTCCCCAGCCCTCCCCAGACCAGGCTGGGCGTGCCCTCACCAATATAGTCAAAGCGCCCTGGGGCCAGCCGCTCAGGCAGGTGGGAGGCGAAGAGGAAGCCGGTGAGCATCGCACACAGGAGGTGGTAGCCGTGGCTGGAGCTTAGCGCCTCCTGCCCACAGCTGTGGGTCCTGTCCCAGCACAGCCCGAGCTGGCAAAGAAACAGCAAGGCTGGGAGAAGGTCTTTGAGAGTGGGATAGAGAAGGCAGAGCTGGAGAACACTGCTGGGGTAGGTGCTGCGCCTGGAGAGTAGGCAGAGGGCTGAGACTGGGGACTGGGGACTCCTGGGGCCCTGGACACTCTTACCCGGTAGAAGAGTGGGAGGTTGTCGAACAGGAAGGGATAGGCAAAGGCGGCTGTGCGCAGGACTTTACTGAGCCCAGGGCTTTCCAGCTCTGGGAACCTGGGATGCAATATGGACAGGCTGGTCACCATCTCTGGCTTGGCGAGGGATAAGGAGGGCAATGGGGCCTTGGGCCAGAATGGAGCATATTGGCTAAGAAAGTCCTTAGGTCACATGACCCTCTAAATGGCCAAGAGGCTGTGAGGGTTAAAGGAGTCAGCAGCAGGGTACAGTGGCACATACCAGTCATCCCATCACTTGGGAGGCTGAGGCAGGAGGATTGCGAGTTCAAGCCCAGATCGGGCAATTTAGAGACTTAATGAGACTCTGTCTTAAATATAAAAAGACTAGGAATGTAGCTCAGTGCAAAAGCCCAGGGTGTAATGCCCAGTACTGCAAAAGTAAAAAAAAAAAAAAAAAAAAAAAAAAAAAGGAGATGTAATGGGAAAGGTACCAGCCTACAGGGTCTGACAGTAAGTCCTTAATAACAAGCAGTAAGTAAGTGATGTTGAGGGGCAGTGCAGAGGTTGCTTTGTCCCTGCGCCCTGCCTTCCGAGCCCACTGCGGGGCCTGAGAACCCACCGGGAGTAGCAGGAGAGGCTGGTACACAGGAAGGAGTTGAGTGCGGCAGCAGGCACGAAGAACTGGTGCAGGCGACCGTGCAGCCAGGAGGCCGGCATGGAGTAGGCAGCATAGGGGAAAGCGCAGCCTGTGGGAGGCAGGGGGCTGAGGCCCGGGCGCCTTCCCTCCTTCCCGCCTTCCCTCGCTCCCGCGGCCACACGGCGTCTCACCCAGGCTGTACAGGCTGAGCGCGCCGTAGTCCAGGAAGTAGCAGATGTGCCGCGCGCGGGGCGACATAGAGCTGAAGGTGTGCGCGCAGCACGACGCGAAGGGGTAGAGGCAGGCGGGCAGCAGGAAGACGAGCAGCGGCCGGTGGTAGGGCTCCGTGCCGCCCGGGCCCTCCGCCAGCGCCATCAGCCGCCACAGGAAGTACCTGCCGGGGACGGGCCGCTCAGCCCAGACCCCGCCGCCCTCCCGCACCCGCTGCCCGCCGGGGCTCGGCTTACCAGGTGGGCAGGAAGTGCGTCCAGATGTTGACCGTCTCGTTGGTCATCTGGAAGGAGCTGAGCACGCAGTCCAAGGCCGAGCTGGTAGGGCGGCGGTAGCCAGACATGATGCCATCTTCCCAGAACACCTGGGGCAGTGGGGCGGAGGGGCGTCACCGGGGGCTCCCTCCGGGAGAGGCCTCTGGAAGCGACCCCGAGGAGCTTGTGCCAGACAGCATGGTGGCCCCAGTCAAACTCAGTCCGTTCCTCGTCGTCACCCACAGAGCAGATGAGTGAGGAGGAGCGGGCACCCACGGCTCTCGGGGAAGGGAGCTGGAGAGCCCGGGATGGGGGGCACGCTTGGTCCTCAGAGGACTGAGGAAGTCGCCGCTGGCACAGAAGGAATTAATGCCAGGGCTAGAAGACGCTGTGCTGCAGCCGCGTCTAGGGAGCAGGGTGGCAGGTTGAGCCCTCACCCGGGGGACCTGGTGCACTCGGAGGAGTTGGGGCAGCTTGAGGCTGAGCATGGCCGGGTAACTCCACGCCGACCTGGAAGCAGATCGAGGGACATCAGGGACCGGCGCCGTCTGGAGACCCCTGGTCTCCCAGCTTCGGGACAGACTATCACTGGGCCCCGGATGGGCTCCGTGCGTGGGTGGCAGCGGGCCCCACTGCCCAGCGAAGTATCCCAGGACCCTCCCTCCCAGTCCTAGCTGGGACACCCGTCCAGAGAGAGAGGCTCAGACAGCCCCGTCCTGCTTCTGCCGGGTGCAGCCCTGCTCCCCGAGGCAGCGCAGCAGGCGGAGCACCCACCCCAGCAGAACACTGCGCTGCTTCGAAAACTCTTGCCCTCGGGGAAAATTCCTGAAGAAGCAGGATGCCAGCCAGTAGGGCAAGGAATGAGGAGGTTGCCTGGCTCTTCTCTAGGGCTATACTTGTGCCCCTGGGGACCCTTGAGGCCCCTGCCCCTCCGGAGCCCGCGCCCCTCAGCCCAGACCTGCGTGCTGCCTCCCTCCGGGTGGCGCGGCTCCGCTGCCCCGCCCGCCCGCCGCTCCCAGCACATTCCTTGGCACCCGCGGAGGGGCTGGGCCAGCGAGGTGGGTGGTGCCGCTCAACTAGAGGGAGAAAAGAACACTCCCCCTCCCCAGGCCAAAACTTTCCAGCAACTCAAAGGCCGGTCCCGCCCCTTCCTGCCTCCGGCTTTGCCGTCCAGCCTGCGTGCAGCTCTTGCTCTGAGCCTCCACCGCCAGCAGGTCGCCCGACTCTGCTCCTCTGCCATTAAGTTTGGGAACCCTGCCTCTAAGTTGGGGGCACAAGGCAAACCTGTGCTCCACGTGAACATGACAGCCTCCCGGGCTCTCCCTTGTCCCGCCCAGGAGCGGGTGGGAGGTATCCCCTATCCCAGGTGCTACCCCGCTACCTGAGGGTGAGAAGCTGCGGTTCTCCCCTCCCAAGCGCTGTGGAAATTTCTGTAGGACAATAAGGTGCCTGCAGACAGGGACCTAAACAAGAGCTTTACCTTGGAGTGAGAGCCCAAGCAGAGTGTCCTTACCCAGAGCCTGACGGGGCTCAGAGCTCGGCTGACAGCAGAGTGGCAGGGAGGGCCGGGCCTGGGCGGGGAGTGGGGAGACAAAGGGGAGCCGGGAACAATCCTCGCCTTGTCCAGCCTCTAAGGAGCAGCGCAGGGTGGCCCAGCCCCATTAGCAGGCAGCTCACTCAGCCTCCCGTGCACAGCCAGCGCCTTGCCTGACCCAGGCTTGCCAGGCACTGGCTCAGGCTGGGCCACGGCTGTGGTGTGGCACAGGACAGTCCAGGGCCAGTGCACCCCAGGCCCAAGTTCCCCCACAGGAGGCTGGGCACAAGGCTCCAAAACCAGGGCCAGGCTCTGGGCATGTCAGCACTGCAGCATGGGGGCTCCCAGAGACTGCCCCTGGGTCAGCCTGAGGTTGACCACAGCAGCCTTTCAGGGAGTCTCTGGATGGCTTCCAGGGACACCCGCTGAGCAGCCACCTCCAGGGCCAGGGCACCAGCTCTGCATGTGTCCCCCCCCTCCCCGCACACATGGCACCAGCAGACAGGGAGACTTGGGGGGTCTTTATTTAATGATGCTTTTGTCTCAGTCTCTGCCAGGAAGTGGGGTGACCCCATTCCCCCAGCTTCTCTGGACACATTGTCTTGAAGGAAGCAGGCAGGAAGCCGGTTCCCCTCTAAGCACAGCCTGGGAAGCAAGGCTGGCACTGGGGTGGGCGGGGGCAGCAGGACTAGGTCCACCCCAGCCCTGGTGCTGTTCCCTGTGCCTGTTCACTGCCCTGAGCTACTCATGATCTCTGCGCCCCACCATCGCCTGCCCCGGCTCAGCCCCCCAGGCCTTTCATCCTGGGGAAGGGCAAAAGGAGGGGAGCCCGTCAGGGCAGTAAGCCGCTCCTTTTTGTGCCCATCGAACGCTGCCCCTTGTCTTCAGGCCTCCCAAGACAGGAAGGGGATGGTCGCAGCCTGCACCGCTCCCCCTTCTTCTCTTACTGGCACCCCCACTGCCTAGCACAGCAGCCAAGAACACAGCACCACAGGAGCACACGGACCACGCTGCCTGCAGCCCAGGGCCACTAGAGGCAGGTAGGAGCAGGAGCAGTGTGGCCCCTGCGGTGTGGTACAGGCCGCTTGGACCCTGTTTTCCTAGGGCCCCAGCAACTCCAGGGTCACCCAGTACCCCAAAGGGAGGTGAAGAAGAGTCTGCAGAGCCATCCAGATACCTGGTATCACCCAACTCTTCCCCCAGGGCCTGGAGGGTCCAACTCCTGGCCCCACTACCCTGTCCTTGGGTGAGGACGAAGGGCCCTTTCTGCTGTCCCTTCCCCTAGAGGTCCAGCAACCACTGCAATGAAATACAAACACCTGTGCCTGCCACCTGCCTCGGGACAGCAGGAGGGTCGGTAGGGAGTGTTGGCTGGGGCCCACAGGCCTCTCCTGCTCCAAGCACTTCCCTGGCTTTCCTGCCGTTGCCTTGGCAACAGAGGGACCCCACCCTCCCAGCTGGCTCTAGGGCCCTCCCCAGCCTCTTGGCAGCTGGGTTTCCTTCCTGTGTACACTGAGTCTGCATTGGTGGGGTGACTACAGGTGGTGGTCCTGGCTGCCAGGGAGAGCAGGAGAGATCTGGAGTCTGCCCTACTGTAGGGCCTGGGGTCAGTCTCAGCCAATCTCCTTCCATTGCTTGTAGAAATCCAGAACGTTCTTGATGTCCACGCTGGCATGGGCAGCGGCCTGCAGGGTTGCCTATGGACAGCAGGAAAGATGGGTAGGGGCTGACATGAACTGCAGGACGGTTCACTGGGGGTTGTGGAAGGGTGGGGACGGAAAGGCAGCTCTCTGGAGGTCGGGGGCTGGTCCACCCCTCCCTACAGGCCTCGCCATGACTCACCTGCATGGGCCCCGAGAGCGCACTGGGGTTGTCCAGTGGAAGGCCTGTGATGATGGTCACCATACCGCTCGGGTCCTCCTCCCCTGCCCCCTGGGCCAAAGTCAGCTGTTTGCAGCTGTCCAGGATCTTATAGAGAGTCCTGGCGGGGGGCGGAACGACACCCAGCATTAGCACAGCCTGAACAGGAGGATCCCCAGGGTCCAGGGTAAGGTGGGGATCAGGAGGGCACCAGGGCAGAGCAGGAGAAACCAGCAGCAGTAGGTCCTGGAAAATGGCCTAGGGGAGCCACTGGGGAAGTAGGCCAGTGTACTCAAGCGAGAGCACAAACATCTCCAGGCAGAGTAAGGAAAGCACTCCCAGGCTAGGACAACCTCATCCTGTCTGGAGGTGGGGCCTGTAAGAAGCGCTAGGCAGGCCCTGTCCTGCTGCCTAGGGACGCTGGCCCCTGAAGGGAGGCTTTAGGGTGAGGGGAAAAGTGTTACCAGGCATCTGCATCCTGTCTCTTCAGCTTATGCCGTTCGAAGCTCTTGCCCACTTCCTTCTGGCAGCGAATGTACCTGGAAAGGGGATGCAGTCAGTGCGGCGGGGTGGGACCTCATACAGTATCTGCCACTGCGACTCTGGGGCCAGGTCTGCAGGAGGGCGGGGGTCTCTTTCATCAGACTCTATGTGGCTTCCTGGTTGCTGAGCCCAGCTCACTTTCCTCTGATAACATCAATTCTCTAGTTCCTCCCAGGGGAGAAGCTGGAAGTGCTGGAGCAGAAGCTTTTCAAGTCAGGGCTTCTGAAGACAAGGTCCAAACAAGCCGGCCTTGTACAGCTTCCTAGGCACGGGGACTGGCTGCAGAAGAGGGGCAGGCCAGCCGGCAGGAGAGAGGACTCTCCTCTCCCTGCACCCTGCCCACTCTTCTGGCCCCAAAGGCTAGGAGGGCAGCCTGCGCTGCTGCCATGTGCTCTCCCTAGCTGCCTCAGCTCAGAGGGGAAGTGGGAAGGAGGGTGGCCAAGGCAGACATTCAGCCTGGAAACCTGACCCCACCCCAACCCTGCTTCAGGGGATCCTCACAAGGCCCTGGCTCAGACCACAGGGCTCTTGCTTGGGCTCACCCTCTGCTTTAGCAGGACCCCCAACCTCTAGTGATGGCTTTGGTGCTGTGCAAAGGATGACCAAGGCTGAAGCTCACTTCTCCCCCACAGGAGCAAGAAGCACGAGAGCAGGTGCTGCGTGCACAGCAGAACAGGGCTCCATGGGGGCCTGGTAGCCGCACTCACCTATTTCCTTTTTTAAACTCTGCCTCCAGATAACGGATCCCATCCCGGGCCCCCGGGTGCTCCTTCTTCAGCAAATCCAGACCATCAATCACTGCAGCACAAAACAGCTCAGCTTGAACCGTTCACCCTGCTCTGGAGGAAGCATCTGCGCCCACCCTAGACACCCGCAGGGGAAAGAGACCATAGCCCCTCCAAGGCTCCCAAGTGCCCTGTGCCTTCCACCACAATGTGCAGGGACTTCCTGGGTGCACACTCGGATCTTCCTCTCCATGTCTCCCAGTTTTGTGTGGCAGGGTTTAATAGGGACTCTCGTGCCCACTTCACAGAAAGTGACTGTGGTTTAAAAAGCTGATAATTGACCAAGGTCACTCTGTGTGTGTACTGTTGAGTGTAGAGTGTGTGTGGAGACCGGACCAGTCCTTTTGCCTGCCAGGTAAGAGCTCCATCACTGAGCTCATTCCCAAGTCTTTGTATTTTTTGACAGGGTCTTGCTGAGTCACTAAGTTGCCCAGGCTAACCTTAAACTTGAAATCTGCCTGCCTCAGCCTCCCAAATAGCTGAGATCACAGGCATTCACAAGTACACCTGGCTGATGTGTGGGACCCAAATAAAGGTTACTCAATCCCAAGCCAAGAGCCTCTTTTAGCCACATTCTACCTGGCCTATCCCCAGTAAGCCTACCTGTCCGTGGGATGATAACAATGAAGCGTCCACTGGTGGCCAGCTGGCGGATGACAGGGAGGTGGTGGCAGAGGGCCTGGGTGTCAGGGACGAGGTAGGGAGACATAGCTGACTGAGCCTTGGGCTGCTGCAGGCTGCCTTCCAACTGAGAGACTTCGAGCTGTAAGAGAAGGCAAAGAGGGTGGCTGCAGGGATCCTGAGCTTCAGCAGGAAGGACAACAAGAGAAGCCAGGAGCCAGCAGCAAGGCAGCTTAAGCTGGCCCTTACAGGGCTCTTCCTGCTGCTATGGGGGACCATGAGGGAAAAGTGGACAGAAATAAAAGCTACAGGAAAAGAAAGAAAAATAAAGGCAGACACAGCATGCAGCTCCAGAAGAACAGCACGGTGAGGCCAGTCTGACTGGAGCAGGTGGGGGCTCAGGGGCACTGAGCAAGGTGAGCACCATGGTAGGGAAGGTCTAGCTAAAGCTGCCCCAGAGTAGGCGCGCTGGCCTGTTCCTACCTGCAGCCGCAGCTGCGCCATGTCCCGCATCAGCCGGTTCCGCCGGGCCTCCTCCTGTGCCTGTGAGGAGACAAGAGTGGAGGTACTGGGAGCGCCCCCTCCTGAGCACCACACAGGACAGCGGGAGGCCTTCCTGGGTGTGCTGCTTCCAGGTTACACAACCACTCCCAGGGCCCCCACAGGTGGCATCCTGCAGCCTGGGGACAGGCAGCGGACAGGCAGCTGAGTGCCATCACCACTGCAGGACACAGCCTGCCATGTCTTGGGAGCTCACTTCTGCTCCTCAGCTCTTCTCAGCCCAGGCCTCCCCTCCAGGACTAAGACCTACCTCACCTTCTGTCACCAGCAACCTGCCAATGTCTCCCAAATCTGCAGACTCAACCTGGCCCTGAGCACCATGAGTTCCAGCCCGACACATCCACTGGCCTGCTCACAAGCAGTCCCATCTCTCCTCAAACCTGCAACTTTTATTTAGCTGGGCATGGTGGCATATGCCTATAATCCCAGGGGTCAGGAAGCTGAGGCAGGAGGAGTGCCACAAGTTCAAGGCCAGCCTGGGCTATGCAGAGAATTCCAAGCCAGCCTGAACTACATAGCAAGAGACTCTGTCTCAAAACAAAACTTTCCCTCTGAAGTTCCTTCCTTTGCTAAATGACCACCCCTGCCTGAGTTAGAAGTACAAAGCTAGCTCAGAGTCTTCCCTTTCTCAGAGCCCAGAAGCTATGATTCAAACAGTTCTATCAACCAAACTTCCCACCCAGTCTCCTACCCTGCCCCTCCGTGCACCTGCATGGAGAGGCCATGTCTCAGCCAACACCTCTCCTTCCTAACAGATCTCTTCTCTACCAGCAACCAGGGCCATCTTTCAAAAGCACTGAATGCTCATCACGGCCTTGCTTAAAACTCCTCTGAGCCACCGGGTGTGGTGGTGCACACCTGTAATCCCAGCACTCAGGAGGCTGAGGCAGCAGGATCGTTGTGAGTTCGAGACCAGCCTGGGCTACAAAGTGAGCTGAAGGTTGGCCTGAACTGCATAGTGAGACCCTGTCTCAAAAGAAAAAAAAATTCCTTTGAGCTAACTGCTGGGGTGCATGACTATAATCCCAGCACTCAGGAGGCTGAGGCAGGAGGATTATGAGTTGAGTGCAGCCTAGACTACATAGTGAGACCCTACCTCAACAAACAAAACACAAAGATATTAAAATATATTTCAATGTCTTTCCTCTGTTTTTTGGATAAAGTCCAAATTCCATACTATGGTCTAAAAGTAAGAGAAAGATGGGGCCTTTGTTCTGTGCGCCACCAAAGGCCAGGGCCTAAATGAGCCAAGTATTACCATCAGCAGGGTGAGGCTTTTAAGTTTAATCTTACTCTTTTTCTTTTGTTTTCTTAAGGCAGGGACTTGCTATGTAGTTTAGGCTGGCCTTGACCTCACTATGGAGCTTATGTTGGTGTTGCATCCATGGCAAACCTCCTGGCTCAGCCTCCTCAGTGCTGGGATTACAGGTGTACTACCTCCATACCAAGTTTCTCAGTTTTGATATTTATAATATGATTATACAAGATCTACTCCAACCCCCTCCGAGTGTCTACACAATGAAGGCCTGCCCTACTCAACAGGCCGAGTGTCCCTTTGGAAAGCACAAGAGGAGGAAGACAGGAAGCAGAACAGAGCCCAGGCTAGCCATTTCCTGACAGGGCTGTTGGTAGACTAGAGAGGAAGGGAGTATAGGGACAGACTTCCCTCTCCCGCCTGCAAACATCCAGCCTGTGAGTCTCTCATCCTAAGACTGTAGCTGTGAAACCCATGTTCCAGAGATAGGGCACTGTATGCAGGGGAGTAGGAGGCCCCTGCACCAGGGCAGGGAAGCAGCAGCAATGACCCAGGGCTTGACACTCCCAGGCCAACAGTTCAGGTAGCTGTGCTCCTGAGCACCCATCAGGAGAGTGGAGCTGAAGCAGACAGCCCGGCAGCCCCAGGCAGGTGCCAAGAAGCTAAGCACTCATGCACCACAAACAGCCAGGATGAGAACTCGGCTGGGGTGGAGGGAGCAGCTCTGTGACATAGCACTTGTCTAGCTGCCATGATACCATGGGTTCTACCCTCAGCACCAAAAACTCCAAAGAAAAGTGAGCAAAGAATACAAGTTTGTCCCACTCCAGAGCCTTGACTATAATCTGATCTTGGAAATGTTCCTATGCATGTTCTTATATATAAAGTCAGGATGCAAGCCAGGCATGATGGTGCATCCTTGTAATCCCAGCATTCAGGAGGCTGAGACAGGAAGATCACTGAGTCCAAAGCCAGTGTAGACTACACAGCAAGACCCTGTCTCAAAATAAATCAAATCAAATCAAATCAAATCAAATCAGTATGCAAGCACCCACCTCTCAAAGATGCTGAAAGGGTGAAATGAACCAAGTGAAAGCCAGGCTTTGCCATAGGAAAGTTTCAAGAATGACAGGGGGCAGGGGGGAGGCGCACAGGGAAGGCCAGGCGTGGTGATGCACGCCTATAATCCCAGCACTCGGGAGGATGAGGCGGGAGGATTGTTGCGAGTTTGAGACCAGCCTGGGCTACAAAGTGAGCTCAAGGCCAGGTTGAACCGCATAGTGAGACCGTCTCAAAAAAAAAAGAATGACGTGAGATGGCCATACTCCTGCTGCCAGGGAGTAAGCCACCCGGCTGGAAACTTGTGAGTGAGGAAGAGGAGGAGGCGGGGTGGCCTGCAGTGTCCAGCTCCACACAAGAGGGTCTTGCAGGGCTCCCTGTGACCTGATCCCCGAGTCTCCAAGAGCTTTCCACTGGAGGAAATGCCTGCAACAACGCTAACAGGTTTGAAGTCATGTAACTTCCCCATAATTATTTTTGTAACCTCTTGCATCTTCCCCTATGGAACAGCAATAAAAGCCGTAACACAAAAGCTTTGTTTTTAACAAAATGTGCTTGTTTATGAGGTAGCACGGAAGGGAGTTTCTGGGGAGCTGGGCCCATTCCCAGCGTAGCAGAATGTCCACCAAGAATGGGCTCAGAGGGTGGGCGAACTGTGGACTCACAGCTGGGGGAAAAGGAAGAGCACAGGGGAGGAGACTGGCCTGGGATGAAGAAGCCCTGAAGCTGGCTGAGAACCACGGGCTGTCCTTCCTGTGCCCAGCACCAACACCCAATGCTCTGGCGGCCCTGGGCTCAGCAGACGACACGCACAGGGCTGTGCTGGCTCCCCTGGAAAATCAGACGGCGGCTGGCAAAGTATAAGCCCCATGGGGGAAGGCACTGTGTTCACTGCTAAGACACGAGTTTCCGTACTGACTTGTCTGGCAAAGAGCTGACTCTCAGTAAACACTGGTGGGACAAGTGATTACATGGAGAAGATGTAACACAGGCCGCTTCCTACCCTTCGGGGCCTCTACAGGATGGGATGGTGTCTGGGCTGAGAGTTCCAGAACCTTCCACTCATTCGCTGTGCTCCAAGGAAAGGAGTAGCTGATGGGCACCCCTGCTCCAGAGGACAGCGTGCAAGGTATCTCGTATGCACTATCGTTCCATCTTCACAAGAGACCTCCCAGGTATCACAGTGTAGCCCAGGCTGGCCTGAACTCACAATCCTCCTGCTTCAGCCTCAAGATGGCTGAGATTACAGGCATGTGTCACCACTCCCAGCAAGCTGATTGTACTTATTCCCACTAACTGAGCAAGGATTTTAGTGATTTACTCAATGCAGACTAGGAAGTGACAGCGATGGGCCTTAAGCTGCAGTCACAGCAGACAGCTCCCCTGAGCCACACTATCTGCCAAAGTATCAAAGTATCATGGCCATCATTTTGTGCCAGCCCCACCCTTTGTCCCCATCAGGCCTCCCCCAGGAAGCCCATAAGCCTTCCTCTCCCTATGTCTGGGAGCCCAGGACCACCAGCACGACCGAGCCTCTCGCTCTGGCTTCTCACCATGCGGAACTGCGCCTGGGCCTGCTGCAGCAGGCTCTCTTGCTCAGACTGGGCAATGCTGATGAAGATGCCAACTTCCGGGTTGAACTGTAGGATGCTGCCTTGCAGGCGGGCCACAAAGTGTCCAAAGCTACGGATGCAGCAGATGCGCACCACAGACTGCGGAGACATAGGAGTGGTCCACTGAGCAGCGCCCACCCTGAGCAGCTGGCCAGGCCTGCTTTGCTTTCTCCCTCCCTCCCAGCCACCCTGGGAAACAGGAGCGCTGGCTGCCAAAGGAAGAAGTGAGCAGGTGAGGGGACTGGGCAACCCTGCGGGGGAGCAAAGGTGCGGGGCTGCATGTGAGAAGATGGCTTCCAAGGCCGTCTCTTCTCAGGGTCTCCGCTCCTCAAGTGTGAAATGAAGGGATTAAACTAGACCAACATTTCCCAAATTATTTTTGTCAGTAAAACTGTCTTTCTCCTCACATAAAAATCTTACTTAGATCCCTCTAATATAAAACATCTCAGCCAAGCTGCTCTCGCTGGAGATGAGGCAGCCTGGGGTAGCGATGGGGACTGAGAGTCTGTCTGCTCCGCTTCCCTCTGCTGCCCCCAGATGGCCCGTGTGGTGACACAGATTTGCACTTAGGAGCTGCTGAACTAAGTGGGCAACACGGCCCCCAGCTCTAACTTTCTATCATCACTTGGTGTACAGCTCAGAGGGCTGGGCCCAGAGGTGGATAAAGATTTCCAGGCCTAATTCACTTGCCCTGTCCCTTTCAGAAGACAGAGGAGGAGCTTGTTCTACAACAGGAGAAACCTCCGAAAGCAAGCCACCTGCAGGACGCCTGCCAAGCCAGGTGAGGGCACGCAGCCCCCAGCCCCAAGCCCTGTTTCACTGCTGAGCATGACTGATGTTAGCAGGCAGTGCCTGTGGCCCAGGACGAGCCCCTCACCTCTTCTAAGGCGCTGAGCAAGGGCCGATCTGCGTCAAAGTTGAAGCGTCTGTGAGCAGCCCGGAGGGGAGGCAGGTTGCGAAGTGCCATGTCCTCTGGGAGCAGCAGGCTGGAGGGGAGGTCAGGCAGTTCACAGCCTTCAAGGAGATCCTGGACCTCTGGACACAAGGCCAGGCCTGGGCAGAGAAAGGGTGCATCAGACCACCTGCACTAGGTAGCTGCCAGGCTCATGAGACAGGGGCATGGAGAACACCACACTAGGCCAAGCTCCAGGGCATCAGCGCTGGAGAACAAGGACAGCTTAGGCTGGGAATCGTACTAGACAGAAATAAGAGGACGGGCCCTGCAGGAATAGCCCTAGAGTCTAGGAGGGAAGGGCCAGACAGATGAGTTCTGGAGGTCAAAGTCAATTCTTTTTTGTCTGCAACAGGGTCTCACTGTGTAGTCCAGGCTGGCCTAGAACTGATAATCCTGCCTCAGCCTCCAACTTAATTCTTAAGGTCCACAGGAGCAGGCCCTTCACTGTGCTCTTGCCGTCCCTGCTCCCCCACACCCTTTGGCAGACCAGGCCACCTGCCCACAGTGGGGCAGTGCTGGGACGGTAACTGGAGAGGCCTGGACCACACAATGACTGCTGTGTGTGAGGGAGGCCCACACTGCGTCCCATTAACCTCCTTACCCAAGGGCTGGGTTACAGGAGAGAGACGAACTAAGCCGGGCCAAAGGGAAAGGGAAGGGGGTGCAGTGCCAGGGACTCACTCACCAGACTCCTGGAGTTCACCAGCAGCAGGCAACAGATTCAGCAACACCGACAGGCGATTCCACAAACTCTGAGAGCTCTGGGAGAGGAGAGGGGAGGCTGTGAGCCAGGGGCAGTGCTGAGGAGCAGCAGTGAGGAAGGGAAGCACCTGCTAGGGCATCTGGGCTGCACGCAGAGGCTGAGGGACTCCACAGAAGTGAGAGGCCAGTAAACTCGTGGAGGACTCAGAAAGGGGAGCTGGGTCTGGAGAGCCTGGAGAAGGGGCACTTGCCACCCACTGACTGCTCCAGGAACAGACAAGGCAGTGAGGCCTCAGAAAGGACTTCCTGGATCCTGATAGTGGATAGTGGATCCTAAAAGCTGAGCGCTGGAGGTGGTGACATCTCTTCATTTAGCAGAAACCCTTCTTTATTTTTTCTCAGTACTAGGAATTTAACCCTGGGCCTTAGCACTAATCTTTAACCCCAACCCATTTTTATTTTTTAAATTCAGACAGGCTCTTGCTGAGTCACTAAGTTGCCCGGGCTGGGCTCGAACTCGGCAGTCCTCCTGCTTCAGCCTTCTAGAGGGCTGAGATTACAGGCCTGTGCTGCCACACCCAGCTGCAGAAACCTTTTCTTTCACTCCTCCTTCTGTGTTCCTATCCTGACACAGGCCTCTAGGGATATGACCAGCATCAGCACCACACCCCCCCATGACTAATGACTGAGTAACTAGCTGTCCTCAGAGATGCATATACACCCAAGGGTGTGCCTGGCCCTGACCCAGCTCCCATCTAGGTAAGGGGGTGGCCCGCAGCAAAGCAGGAGAGCTCTTACAGGAAACACTCCACATGTAAGCTCTGGGAATGACAGGCTAAAGACTGAGGCTCTAAGCTGGGCATGGTGGTACACACCTGTAGTTCCAGCACTTGGGAGCCTGAGCCAGGAGGATCATGCATTTGAGACTAGTTTAGGCCACTTAGTAAGTTCAAGACGTAGTGAAACTCTGTCTTAAAAATCCGAAATGGGGCTTGAGGGGGCGGTACTAAGGCTCTGAACCCAAGAACAAAGTACAGGAGAAATCCCAGACCAGCAAGCCCAACACCACCAGCATCTCTGTGCAGCTTCCTCCAGCTGCTGCCCCTACCCACAACACCTTCTCAACCTCTGTCCGAAGTTCTTCCTTCTTGTGTCACTCTTTTCTGGATTCTGTACTATTCACTGCGCTTGGCCTCGCGCACACACACACTCACTGACATTACTCACAATGGCGGGCATTATGCCCAGGACTGGGGAGAGAAAACAGCACAACTGGCTCTCTCACAGCTCCCCAGCCACAGGCTTTGCGGACCAGACTGTGCCCATGGCCACCCCACCCCGCCCAGCATTTGGCAGACCATGGAGGAGTTCCCGGCCTCTCTCCTCCAACACCAGGACCCCTTGCGGGAGCGGGGAGGGCAACACCTGTGCACACACGACGATGAGGTCAGGGTTGGTCCGTAGCCAGTCCAGGAAGATCTTCACAGCAGGAAGCAGGCCCTCAGCAGTTAGGACCTGCAGCTTCTCCTGTAGGCTGCGCTCATTACGACATGATCGCCCGCTGGACTCGCTGCCCTCTGACTCGGAGCCCTCCTCAGAGGCTGGGGGCAAGGGGAGAACAGCGTGAACAATGAACAGCAGTTGGCAACAGCCTCAGCTGCCACCTGATCCAGACTCTTCTGAAAAATTCTGGTACAAAAGAGGTGTGGATTCAGGGTCAAACTCCTGACTAATTTTTCCAGGCCCATTAACTGGCTGCTTTTAAACCAAGAGGCCAGTGCCTTTTAGTATGATTCTTTCAGACTCAAGCTATGTATAAAGCTGCTCTGTAGCAATTCACTCAGCCAGCATTTAAGTGCTTACTCTGCTGGAAGGGCTACAAGACAGAGAAAGCAAGGGGCACAGGGCCCAACCATTCTTGTCACCTCCCAGCTCTTCTCTGTCTGGCAAAACACTTGGCAGGTCACTTCACCTCTCTGAGCAACAGCACCCACATTTCCTTCAGTCATTCAAATGTCTCAAGCCCCACCCCTGTGCCCAAGTACTGTGTTAGTGCCAGGGACACACACTGGCCTGCCCTGCAGCAGCTCACGGTACTGCAGGAAGACGGACAGGTCTGCAGACTGCCTCGCCAGGGTAACGGCAAGGGGCTGTGGCAGAGCCGGCAGCCACAGGAGCCCACAGAACACGAATCTAAGCGGGCTGTAGGGGAATCCCAAACCAAATGACTTATTCTGAGCCCGGGCACCCTACACACATGCTCTGCCACTGAGGTACACCCCTAGCTCCAAATTACTTTTAAACTATAATCTAGGGGGCAAATAAGACTTAGCCAAGTGACTGGCTTTGGACAAGGAAGGAAAAGCTATGTTCCAGAGAGAGGTAGCCCACGTACAAAAGTATGGAAGTAAAAGATAGCCTTTGCAGCAAGGACACTAACTTTTCCACCAGAAGACTGCTGTGGAAGCCAGAAAAAAAGACAACATCCTAGAAGAGTCTAGCCCAATAATGGCAAACCTTTTAGAGCTTTCAGTGATATAAACAGCCTGCTGTAGCATGTGTGCGACAGGTTCGCCACCACTGGTCTAGCCTAATACTGGGCACAGAGTTTGGCTAACTAATACTGCTGTGATTAAGTGCTCCTCCTGCCTCAGTGAAAGCCTCACTCCAACCCACTGCATTGATGGGGCCCTGGAGGGACCAGGGGAAGAAGCTGCAGCTGCAAATGCATGGGGAAGACAGCCCCACACCACTGGGTAGCACTGAGTAGGAGAGAAGTTAAAGCCAGGAGATGAGTTGGAGGCTGGAAACGAGGACGTAAACAGGTGAGAACGTCCCAGGAACAAACCCCTGGGTTATACTACAGTGAGGCAGCAGGGTGGAAATGAAAAGCCGCTCACAGAGAAGAAAGGGGCTTTCTCGAGCGAAGGCCTGTGGTAGGGAGATGCAGAGGCCCAGGTACCTGGCTCAGAGGGCTTATCCACATCCCCATTGACACAGGGCCTGCAGTCGGCCAAGGCGTGAGGTGCAGCAGTGGGCTGCAGGAGCAGGTTGCTGAAGGTGGGAGCCAGCCGGAAGCAGCGCTTGGTCTGGAACATCTGGGTGGACATGGCTTGCAGATTGCTGGCAATGCTAGCTTCACTGGGGCCCAGGGGGCCATTGAGGGAATCAGGAGCCTCTGATCTGGCCCGAGGGGGCTCCACAGCTGGGGACCTGGTCCCCTCCTCATCCTCCATATCTTCCAGGTCTGACCGGGACTCCTGGCTGTTCATTTCTGAGTCTGTCTCAGCATCAAAGGCTGTGCCCCCACCTTCCAGACTCTTGTCAGAGCCACTGTCCGAGCCTTCGCTGGCCCGGGCTGAGTCATGGCTTGAGTCTGATTCAAAGCCTTCACTCAGGTCACTGTCATCACCAGCTTTGGGTGGGTGGCGGTGGCGGCGGCGGCGGAGGCAGGAGAGGCGGGAGAACTTCCGGCTCTTCCTACCCTCACCCATGTGGGGTACTGTGGAAGGAGGTTCAGGATCTGGTTCCTCCTCTTTCTCCAGTGGTTCCTTGGACTCTGGCTCATCTGTGGAGACAGGAAAGTCAAGGGGAGCTCCGGAAAGAACGGAGCCTGGAGGCCGGATGGGGCTCTCCGACACCGCTTCCCCACTGAGTCTGTTCCTGCCCTCTCCAGCCTTATCCCAACCCTCCCATCCTCTCCCACCTGCACCGTCGCTCTGGAACGCTGGCACGGGGTTCTCGCCCTCTTCCAGCTCAGCCTGCAGTCGTATGTTGACGTGGTTGACAAGGTGGGAGAAGAGGGCCAGGGTGAAAGCAATGGCTGCACTGTACTGCTTGGATCCTGAGGCAGGAGAGGTAGGCGTCAGGGGCCTGGCCCCAAGTGAGGAGCAGGTAGCATCAATTCCAACCCTGCCTCACCCACGCTCAATTCACCCAAGGATTCACGACTCTGCCAAGCTCCTTCTAAGGTAAAAAGCCTTGCCAAGTCCCAAGAGCATCACCTTCCTGCACTCCAGAATGCACCAGCTCACCCTACACTCCCTCATGCAAGTGTCCTCTTATCTAAGCTCATCCTTCCTGGCTTCAAAGCCCCCGAGAGCCCAAGAGCCTTTATACACACACACACACTTCTACCAGAAAGGTTCCTGAGTGCCTGAGTGACCCTGAAGCAAGGTATAAAATCTGACTGGCTCCTCAGCTGAGCTTGCTGGCCTCATCCCACCCTGCCCCCAGCCAGCCTGTGGGAGGGGACACACTGCTGCCTCTGCTCATTCCCAGCAGGTGCCACACGGTAGGCTCTGCACCCTTCACTCTCTCACAGCCAGCCAGTGACACGGGCAGTGAAAGTGCTTCTCACAGGAGGAAGTTTACCAATAAGGAGCTGCAAAAAACAGCAGAAAACCCCAACGTAGGGGCTGGGACTGGGGACCACAAGGAAGGTTACCTGCTCTCTTCAGGCTGTGCACACCCATGAGGCAGATGATGACCATCTGAAAGAGCAGCAGGTCTGGGAGGAAAGCATACCCACTCTCATACTCCTCCTCCTCCTCACTTGCCAGGCTGAGGTTGGGTGAGGAGGGCAGGTAGAAGAGACACAGGTTGAAGTCTTCCAGGACTGACTGGCAAAGTGAAGTGAGCTCAGAGTCAACAGAGCTACAGAAGGACAGAAGGAGAGGTCAGTAAGGGGAAGGAAAAAGCAAAGACTTGACAATACAAACTCAGAGAAAAAAGTAAAAGGACTTCAGAGACAGCGGGGGAGCTGGGGATTTAGCTCAGCAGCACAGCGCCTGCCTGGCAAGCTCAAGGTCGTGAGTTCGATTCCTGGTACAGGAAAAAAAAAAAAAAAAAAAAAAAAACAGAAACAGCGGGGGAGGGTGCCAGTATTGGACTGTTCTCCAAAGCAGACAAAATGAGGGTGTAACTCAGTGGCCGTGCTTGCCTAGCACACAGAATGCCTGGGCCAGGGTTCTATCCCCAGCATCACAAAACAAAACACAGCAAACAGAGCAAACAGTACGGGAAGGGTATGGGTGGCTTCCCATTCACCACTCCTGCAGCACCCATTAAGCACCCACTCTGTGCGGTAAGCTGCTATGAGCATGGGCACAGGACCCTCAGGCCCAACAGTGAGGGATGCCAAGGACGGCACAGCTGGCTAGAAGTCGTCCCATGGAGGGCAGAGCTCTGCTGTCCTCTGCCTCTGGAACCCATGTGTAGAGTGCAGTCTTGGCTGGGCCCTCGGGACACGGTGTTTGCTTCTCTTCACTCACCTGCTTTTGGGCTGCAGGAGGCTCTGCAGGTACATGAAGTTCACCAGCAACCTCTTAATGTCTTTGCATCTGCAATGATAGGGCCCCAGGTAAACGTGGAGCGGCCCCGCTGCACCGACAGCAGAAAGGAGGCACCGGCCTCAGCCCCACTCACCGCTTTCTGCCAGGAGAGAGTTTCCGAGTCTCACACTTCTTCAGCTGGTGGTACATTTTGGCTGCCTTATCATACAGCCGCTTGAGGTTCCCATAGGCCCCCTCAAAGGACACTTCTGACTGGATGCTGAGAAGACACAGGGGTGAGCTGTTGTGTCTTGGCAGGAGAGGTGGGGAGGGGAATGTCATTCTACTATGGCCTTCAGGACAAGGTTCCCAATAAGTCTCACCGCCCGCAGCCTCACCTTCCTTGTACATTCTCAGGTGAAATACACAACCTTCCAGTTTAATCTGAGTAAAGACAATGCTTTTACTTTCCTCCCTATATTCTCTGTGAAGGGGGCAATTTATCCTACTCTGTTACAAACTTAGTAACGCTGAAATACATATCCTAACTTTTAACAGGCAGCATTTAACAAGGATCTACTGCCAACAACTACAGTTACCTTATTGCCGTTAGTTCTCCCAGCATACATCCAAAGCTCACACTGAGTACCCACTGTGTCCAAGACATAGTGAACCCCAATACTATCCACACTAAAGGTGGAGAAACGGAGCTCAGAGAACAAGTACACGCCAAGGCCATACTGACAACACAAAGCACAGCAAAGTCTCCAATCCCCCATCTCACTACAAAACTAAGGACCTGCTAGACACAGCGGTGCACACATGTAATCCCAGCTACTCAGGAGGTAAAGGCAGGAGAATACAAGGTCAAGGGTAGCGTGCAGTTTAACAAGACCCCATCTCAAAATAAAATTAAACAAACCCAGCTGGGCGTGATGGAGCATACCCATAATCCCAGCACTCTGGGAGGCTGAGGCAGAGGATAGCCTTGAGTTCGAGGCCAGCCTGGGCCACATAATAAATTCAAGGCCAGCCTGAACCACACAGTGAGACTCTGCTCAAAAACAAGCAAATAAAAAAACCCAAAGGAAACAAAAGGACTCATGGAACCAGTGCCCTGGTGACAGCGGAGGACTTGGTACCAGTCACGCACTATACGACCTTGGGCCCTTAATTTCTCGGGCCTCAATTTCTGTAGTTTTATGAAGCCCCTGCCCGTTTTGTATTGTCACAAGATTACTGTGAAAACTCACCATTCATTCAGTCCATTAGTCAACAAATACTACATGGTGCAGGTTCCAGTTGAATTCAGAATTAGAAAATTTCGTTTGGTAAGATAGATAGATAGACAGATCGAAAGAATAAAATAAAATGAAAGGAAATAAAAACAGAAATATACTGATAAAAAAAATAAAATTTTTAAAAAGGGGTCTGTGCTTTAAAAAGGCATGGTGGCATTACCTGTAACCACAGGACTCAGGAGGTTGAGGCAGAAGAATTGCCATGAGTTTGAGGCCAGCCTGAGCTACAATATTGAGTTCAAAACCAGCCTGAACTACATAGCGAGACCCTGTCTCAAAAAAACAAAAACAAAAAAAAACAAAAAAAAGGCTGAGATAGGAGGATCACCGTGAATTTAAAGCCAGCCTAGGCTACATAAGTGAATTCAAGACCAGCCTGCACTATGGAGTGAGACTCCAGTTTCACAAAAAAGCAAATTAAAAAAGTAAAAAAAAAGGTCACATATGTCACAAGCCTGGTAATCATATTTTAAGAAGGCATGGCCTAGGGGCTGAGGATTTAGCTCAGCGGCACAGCGCCTGCCTGGCAAGTGCGAGGTCGTGAGCTCGATTCCTGGTACCAGAAAAAAAAAAAAAAAAGAAGGCATGGCCAAGTGTGGTGGGGCATGCCTGTAATCAGCACTTGGGAGCTGAGGAAGAAGGATCCCCACAACCTGGAGGCCACTCTGGGCTACTTAGTGAGTTCAAGGCCTGGAATAAATAGGGAAACCCTGTCTCAAAAAACAAAACAAAAAAACAAACAAAAAAGAAAGTATTAACATAGTAGTATGGTGTTGATCTAGAAGGGATGGTGAGGGCTGAGGATATAGCTCAGTGGCATAAGTGCCTGCCTGGCAAGCACAAGGTCCTGAGTTCGATTCCCGGTACAAAAAAAAAAAAAAAAAAAAACAACTAGAAGGAATGGTGTGTCCTAGGAGCTAATATTTTCTTGCCACAAAGAATAGGTTTCCTTTCCCAGGTGAAGGAAGGATCATAGCATGTTGAAATATGAGGCAGAATTAAGTACTTTACTGCTTTATAAGTAAATGTTTCACTACTTTACTATTTCAATTGACTTTTCTTTATTTTTTTTTTTTGAGATGGTGTCTTGCTGTGTAGCCCAGGCTGGCCTTGAACTCATGGTGATCCTCCTGCCTCAGCCTCCCAAGTGCTGGGATTACAGGTATGCACCACCACGCCCTGTTTGAATTCACTTTAGTCTCTGAAGACCACCCTACTCCCTTGGCTTACAGCCCAGACCATCTTCTACCCTCTCCTGAGAACAGCTAGCTTCTCCAACAGACTTCAGCCTCACTCCAGTGACGGGAAGCTTCCCTGGCAGTGCGTCTGCATTCTTCCTTCAGCAACAGCACTATGAGTTATCTATCTGCCTCATGGGCACTCAGTTATGGCACCTCAGTACCTTACATCTAAATAATTTTGGGTCCCCCAAAATTTGTATTTTTATTCTAAGAGCTGAGGGTCAGACTGCTGAGCAGGTTGCTCCACGCTTGTGCCGGGAGGCTTGTGCCTCCTCCCCTATCTATCCCACCAGGAGCTGAAGTTCCTCAGAGCAGGGGTGATAACAGCCAAGGCTTAAGAGCAGGGCTGGAGAAGAAGCTGGCGAACACTCACCAGTACCAGGAATTGAACTCACGACCTCGCACTTGCCAGGCAGGCGCTGTGTCGCTGAGCTAAATCCCCAGCCCTTTTTTTTGTGTCTTTTTGAGACAGGGTCTTGTTTTTCTTCTGGTACCAGGAATCGAATTCACAGCCTTGGGCTTTACAGGCACGCGCTTTGCCGCTGAGCTAAACCCCCAAGACAGGGTCTTGCTATACAGCTCAGGCAGGCCTTGAGCTCACTCTGTAGCCCAGGTTGGTCTCGAACTCTCAGTGATCCTCCTGCCTCAGCCTCCTGAGTGCTGGGATTACAGACACGCACCCCCACACCCAGCTTGCTCCATGCTTGTTATCACATTAACACACTGAAGCTTTAGAATCTTAAGGATCTTTTTATAGGCCACTTTGGTACCATTCTATCAAACATATCAAATTTGTTTTCTTGCAGGAAAAGACAGAAGTATTTTGCATAAAATAGCGTATGGTGATTTTGACTGCTTAAGTGCCTACGAATCCCTGTGGCTCTCTGAAAAGCAGCAGAGCTGTGTCAGGGACCCCTTGAATGGAGGGACCTCTTGATCTCGCCTCCTCCCCTATCTACCCCACCAGGAGCTGAAGTTCCTCACAGCAGGGGTGATAACAGCCAAGGCTTAAGAGCAGGGCTGGAGAAGAAGCTGGCGAACACTCACCAGCGCAGGTAGCAATACATGGCTTCCACGTTGTAGTACTTGCTGCCTGCAAGGGTGCCGAGCTGGTTGAAGGGCATTCCTGGAGAGAAAGCATCCATGCAGCATGAGTCAGTCAGTGCTCCCAGGCCAGACCCAACCAAGCTAAGCGCTAATAAACTCATGGGAGACCACCAGCTCAGTCTGCAGGCATCTCTGGTATCTCAGGTGATCAGCACCGTAACTCTGTTCCTCCCAAGTATTACTGGCCCTTCTTGCTTCTCATCAGCCTATTTCTGCCTGTTGTGCCAGGGTTACCTGCACCAATGTGTCCACTCCCACCGTGATTTTTCCAAGGATAATGGACCTCAATGGAGCCTTCTCCCTTCTCCTGGCTCCATTTTTTCACTTCTGCATTCCTTTCTACCCTACCTCTGTCATGGAATCATATCCCTTCTCCCACTGCACCTCCTGCGGGGAGAGCTGAAGTATCCTGTCCTCTTTCTACAAAGACCTCGTGGACAAGGGACCCACCTTCTCCCTTTCTCTTTTGTCTCACTCCTTCTTAGCTGAGACTCTCCCACTCCTCTATCTCCTACATGCTACGAGGTAGATGGGGGCACCAAGGTAAAGCATAAAAAAGCTGAGGGTGCCAAGGCCTCGGGGAAACAAGGAGGAGACTGTCTGCCATCTGAACAGCACTGTCTTCCTCTTGGAAATGCTACTGGTCAGGTGACCCCAGCAGGGGTTCACTTACCAATCTGGGGAGCTACTGACAGAGCTTGATAGTAGAATCTCTCGGCAAGCAGCTCGGTGTCTACACCAGCTAGTTCGTTCTGATAGCGTGCTACCGGACAGCAAGGAAGGGAGATGTAGTGACTCCATGTTTCAGAGAGGCCTCCCCTTCACTAGGAGCCCACTCCCAAGAGCTGCGACGAGAGCCTGAGCAAGGAGGCAGGCTGAGGGGTCTCTGGCACAGTCCTAAGCCTGTGTTACTACAGGCAAATTACCCACACGCTCTTCCTTGCTGGTCGGTTCAAAAGGTAAAGAGTACTTGGTGTTTGTAACGCAGAAAGGCATCTTGATTTTGTCTTCCCCATGAAGGGGAGCTGCAGTGTGTATAACAGATTGAAAATACCTCTGATACTTATTCTAGAATCCTACTGTACAGAATTCTACAAAGACATTGCTAAAGGTACTCCAGTCTACCCACTGTGAAATGTTTGCCCCCATGCATAATGCCCACAAAAAACCAAGAAAAGGCTAGAGGGAGACATCAGGGCCTTAAGTCTTTAAAAGGTAACACACCTCGCAGCCACACACCAGCCACTTAAAGAAGCACAGGCATTTACGAGGACTAGAGACTTAGGAGCCACAAAAAAAAGAGCACATTCTAGTCTCAAAACATCTGTCCAGCATGTAAGTGCTCCCTAAGGTCCTGCTGAAGTTCCTATTCATTTAAGAGCCCATAAAGATAAAAAGCTTCCAACAAGAAGAAAGATGAAGCCAGGTGTGGGAGGCTGAGGCAGGAGGATTACACTGCAAGTTTGAGGCCAGTCTGGGGTACATAGCGAGACCCTGTCTTCAGGAAAAAAAAAGAAGAAAGACAACAAGTTAAAATCTTTTTAACCCACTACTATAATAGAGATCATCCTGACTTCTCAAACCTCAAATGTGTTTCCCCTTTCCCATAAAGAGTGATCATTTGCGCCTAAGGCAGGCTGGTGAAACAAAGGATCACAGTAAGCAGACTAGAGCAGAAAAGCCAGCCGTGGTGGTGCATGCCTCTAACTCCAGCACTCCATAGCTGAGGCAGGAGGATCACGACTTCAGGATGGCCTGGGTTACAGAATGAGACCCTATCTAAAAGAGCAAACTTTTAGATTTGTTCTTTTAGAACAAAAGAAAGACTGGAAGAGAAAAATTATCAGAAGCCAAACTGTTTCTTCTGCTCTCTAATCACGTAAAAGGTGGTATTAACCACTGAAGTAGCTTAGTTCTGTCCTACAGCCCAAAAGAAAGGAAACAAAAGGCCCAAATTCTTACAAAGATCCCCCAGGTACACCAGACATCGGTGGCAAGCCATCTGTGCCCAGTCCATCTCCTTCCCTGAGGCAGATATTGGCTTCTTGCATCCTGAAAGAGAGAAGGAAACAAGTTTATGAGCATCTCTGCCCTCACCTGGGTGGGAATGCTTTCCCAGGTCAAAAAAGGAGACAGAGCACAGGGCCATCCTTAGAACCCTGACTTCTGGGGCAGAGCAGGTGCTCATCTAAGATTCAGGTAGAGACACAGACGCACAGGTAGGACTCATTTGCAGGACAGGAAGGAACTGGACAGGGAAGGTTGGGCTTTAACCCAGAACAGGGCCCTAGAGGAAGGTCATTTGAACAGGAGGAGATCCGCTCCTGTATCAGAAAGACTGAGTGCCTTGTATAGAAGCTACCTATGTAAAGATAGAAAGTCTAGTATGAAGGGAAGCTAACTTGCCAAAAAAGTGAATGTAAGTGAGCCCAAGGAAAAGTTCCTCGCCTATGCCTAGCGGAGGGGTACCCAGAGGCAACAGCAGCCACTGGTCTACCCATGAAGGAGACAAGTGAGCTTGCCTCAAGGACTGGTGACAGCAAAAGCTGAATATGCCTGGGCTATCGTCCTCCCGTTACCCAGCCTGTAATCTCAGTTCAGAGAATTTCAGCTCGTTTCAGCCAATTTCCTCCCATGCCAGGCACCAGTATAAATGTTCACAGCATTAACAAATACCATAGCAGTCCTGGAGACCACTGCTACTTTCCTCTCACAGCAGAAATCTAAGTCACACAGCTGGTAAATGGCACAGCTGAGATTCAAAAAGGAATCTGAAGCTAGGAGGGTAATGAAAGCCTCTAATCCCAGCATTCTGGGTGCAGAGGCAGGAGGATCACCATGAGTTCAAGGTCAGCCTGGGCTACGTAGCAAGACCCTATCTCCAAAAAAAAAGCAATCTGAGCCAAGTGTGATAGTCCAGACCAACAATATCAGAATTTAGAAGGCTGAAGCAGGAAGATCATGAGCTTTTGAGGCAAGCCTGGGCTACCTAGCAAGATCTTGTCTCAAAAAGCCAAAAACTAAACCAATGCAAAATGAAACCAAAAAGCAGCCTGAGGCATGTGGTGCCAGCCTATAACTCCAGCACTCGGGAAGTTGAGGCAGGAGGATCATTGCAAATTCAAGATCAGCCTGGGCTACAAAGTAAGCTCAAGGCTAGCCTGAACTGCATAGGAAGACCCTGTCTCAAAAAGACAAAAAACTGGCCAGGGATATAGCTCAGTGGCACAAGAGCCTGCCTGACAAGTGCAAGGTCCTGAGTTCAATTCCCAGTACCAAAAAAAAAAAAAAAAAGACAAAAAACAAACCGAAAAAATAAAACCAGCCTGGTCCATCATCCCTTAGGTTACTCCACCTTGGATCCTCTCCTAGTTTTGCAACTCCCATTCTGTAAAGTACTCCCCAAAACTTCCCACAGATACCTCTTAGCTGGCTGAACAAAAACTATCAGAGAAAAACTATCACTGCTGGGAACTGACCTTCTGGAGTTCTCTGGAGCTCTGGACCACCTCTGGCTAACTGGTGAATCCTGCAGACGCCACCTCAGCATAACGCTGGTGTGTGGTGCTGGGGATGGAGCCAGGTACATGCATGCTAGCCAGATACTGGGGCACTGAGCTCCAGCCGCAGAGCCCTGTTGTTTCAGATGTATTATGCATACAAAGCACAGATGCTCGGCTTCTGACCAGCAAATGTTGCCATGTGGTTGGTGGCAAAGCCATGACCTCCACTGCTGAGCCAGGATGCCTGTCCTGACAAGGGTGGTGACATGGCTGTAGGGAAGAAGGGACCACGACAGTAAGAGTTGGGGAGCAGCTCTAAAAAGTAGCTCAGCAGGTGTGGTGGCACACACCTGTAATCTCAGCACCCGGGAGGCTAAGGTAGAAGGATCACTGCAAGTTCAAGGACAGTCTGGGCTACAAAGTGAGCTGAAGGCCAGCCTGAACTGCATAGTGAGACTGTCAAAAAAAAAAAAAGACTGAACCAAGCCAGGTTGTGGTGGTGCACGCCTGTAATCCCAGCACTCAGGAGGCTGAAGCAGGAGGATCTCCATGAGTTCAAGGCCAGCCTGAGCTACATAGTGAGACCCTATCTCAAAAAAAAAAAAAAAAAAAAAAAAGGTTGAACCAAAGAGAAAACTACCAACTAGAACTGAAGTAAAACTACAGCCAGTACCTCAATTAACTGAAAAGGGATTCACACTATCTTGAAAGAATGTCCATCATTTTCCAATGTTTTCAAAGACCTCAATTTTTTCTTTTTTGGGACAGGGGCTCCCTATATAGTTCAGGCTAGCCTTGAACTCACTATATCATTGAGGCCCACCTTAAACTTGTGACAATCCTCCTGCCTCAGCCTCCTGTATTAGGATTATAGGCATGTGCCACCACACCTGGCCAGAGAGTTCAGTATTTTCATGAAACACTGGGAAACAATCTTTAAAGTCAAAGGAAACAGTGCCACCAAATTTCAACTCAGAGAAGAAACATAATTAATGCCACCTGCCAGAACTACTCTAGAGCCTTTGCCTAGATAGGTTCCCTCCCTTGCCTCCATAGGTTCATAATCGCAGGGCTCTTGCCTTAACATCTCTACCCTGACTCATACGCTTGTATGGGACACATCCAAGTTTCATGAAGCATTTGTAGGTGTGCCCAGAACTCTCTTTGTCAGGCTGGGTCACAAGCTGCACAAACCCTGAGAGACACAAAGGCCAGAGAAAAGCATGAGAACTTACTTACTTCTCATACCACCTTCTGGACACTAAGAATGATATTGCATGCCTGTAATCTCAACACCCAGGAGGCTGAGGCAGGAGGATATCCATGAGTTGAAGGTCAGGATCGGGTATATAGTGAGTTCTAACCTGAACTACATAGGAAGACCGTGTCTCAAAAAAGCAAACAGCTGGGCATGTGGCGAACACCTATAATCCAAATCCCAGCACTTGGGAGGCTGAGGTAGGAGGATGACTGCAAATTCTAGGCCAGCCTGTGCTACATAGTGAACTCAAGGCCAGTTTGAACTGCACAGCGAGACCCTGTCTCAAAAAAACCAAACCAAAACAAACAAACAAAACAAAGAACATCTTTCAGGTCTCACTGACCTATGAGGGGGTCGGTGACATGAGTCCAGTCAATGCAGCACTGCAGCTCCAGCTGGTAGTGGGACTGAATATAGAGGAGGAGATGCTGGTAGAAGCCAATACCAGCAACCAGGTGTGTCCTATAGGCACATTCCAAGGTGCTCCGGCTGTGGATGTGCTGGAGGTTGGCAAAAGAAGGGGCTGGCTCAGTAACAAGTCAGAGTACCACTCCCCTCTCCCTCAATCCCTTCATCTTACTGAGGAAATAAACTTTAACTTCCCTGGCCCTGGAACCTCAACCATGTCTTCTCCAAGCCCAGCCTTTATTTCCATCTGAAAAATCTGACCCCTCCTTTCTGCCATTTTTTTGTGGGCTACTCTGGACCCACTTTGCTAGCTGAATCTTCCTTCCTTAGCTTCCACATTCTAGGCCCTCATCTTACCTTTTTGTTCGTCTTAATGAGCTGGATAACTTCATAGTACACCTTTCTCCACAGCAGTTCCTCAGCCTTCCTCCCATAATCAACTGGATGGAGGAACATAAGCTTGACGCAGAGCTCGCGCAGCCTGTGAGGGAAGGCAGCATGAGAGACTGCCCATCCCACGGCAGGGGCACAGGAAGTAAGGGTTGGAAGCATGCGCACTACCCCCACTAATAAGTCTACATCCAGGGTAAGCATGAACACAACAGTAATGGTCTAAGAAAGCAGTGGGAATAACAAAGGACAGAAGTAGAAAGCAATCAGAATTTCAATACTATTCATTCCCCCGCCCCTTCTCTCCTTTGTCTCCCCTTTCTTTCCCTTCATTGTGCAGTATGGCTAATTACTTTAACTCATATATCACTTTTTTTTTTTAGAGACAGGGTTTCACTATGTAGTTCAGGCTGGCCTGGACTCACTGCATAGCCTAGGTTGGCCTCAAACTTACAGCAATGCTCCTGCCTCAGTTTCCCGAGGGCTGAGATTACAGGCATGCACCACCACACCTGGCCCTCATAAATCGTTCTTTTACGTGTCTGTAGTGTGGAGGATCAAACTGAGGGCTTCCCAGGCACTCCACTACTGAGCCACAGTCTCCATTTCTTTTTATTTTGAGGTCTTGCTAAGTTGCTTATGCTGGCCTTGAATTTATAATCCTGTCTAACTTTCCCAAGCAGCTAGGGTTATAGGCATGTGCCACCAAACCCAGCTCCTATGTATTCCTTTTTTGTTTTCTTTTTTTCTGGTACAGGGAATCGAACTCAGGACCTTGCACTTGCCAGGCAGGCACTTGTGTCACTGAGCTATATCCTCAGCCCCTGTATTCCTTGTATGTATGTGTGTGTGTGTGTGAGAGAGAGAGAGAGAGAGAGGGAGAAAGAGAAAGAGAGAGAGAGACAGGGTCTCACTATGCAGTTCAGACTGGCCTTGAGCTCACTTTGTAGCCCAAGCTGGTCTGGAACTCGCAATGGTCCTCCTGCCTCAGCCTCCCGAGTGCTGGGATTACAGGTGCGCACCACCACGCCCGGCTGTATTCCTTTTTGAAACAAGATCTCACTGTGTTGCCTAAACTGGTCTTGAAATCAAACTGGCCTCAAACTGGCATTCTCTTGGCTCAGCCTCCCAGATGTTGGGATTACACCAGGCCCGGCTTTGTATGCCATTATTATGGCACCAGCCCAACAGACGGAGGAGGACCCCCCGCCCCCCAGCTCCTCTTTTGTTTTTAAGGGAGGAGAAACAAAAACAAAAGCCAGAAAGCTGGGCATGGTGGCACATGCCTGTAACTCCAGCCCTTGGGAGGCTGAGGCAAGAGGATGGCTGGGAGTCTGAAGCCACTCTAGGTTACATAGTGAGTTTAAAGCCATCCTGCACTAACAGCAAGATCCTATCTCAAAAAAAACCCAAAAATAAATAAGAACTTTAATTTGGCTCACACCCATCTCCTCCCTTAGGAAGGCAAAAGGTTTCACTGCCCATTATGGTCCCTTGAGGTCCAGAGATAAAAGAAAACACATGTTTATATCCAGCAGGGTTTCCGGTAGAGTCGGGCAGGGAAACAGTAAGGATCTGTGGTTTTGAGTCTCCAGCTTACTTGTTCCTCAGGCTAATGTTCTCAGGTTTGAACACTTCTTGATAAGCGGTTTTGTTGCAAAGAATGAGGTCAAGTCGATGCACAGCCTCCACCACAGCCCTGCAAGGAAACACAGGCAAAGAGCCCTGAGCCACGTGCATAGATCATCTCAGATGCTAATTCAAAGTAGAAGCTAACAAAGCAGGGATGAAGAAAGCAGGAGCGATGCACATAACAAAATGATTACAGTCTCCATCCTGATATGGCAGCCCCCAGCCAGAGACTATGTGGCAATGACAGAGATAATTTCAGGTGTCACAACATGGGGGCCACTGAGGCTGCTCCTGGAATCTAGGAGGTGCTACTAGACATCCTGCAATGCATAGGTCAGGCCGCCCTAAGAAAGAATTACCCTGCCCAAATGTCAATACTGCCAAGGTAGAGAAACTCTTATGATATCAGAAAGCAGACTCTCTCAATGCGCAGGCCGTGATGCCAGGTAGAAAATCTACAGTCTGTGCCCTTTAAAGGCTGTGTCTTCGGGCCAATTACCTAACCTTTTTAAAAAAGTTCTCACATCAAACCCAGCGTGGTGGCTCATGCCTGTAATCCCAGTACTTGGGAGGTTGAGGCAGGACGATCACTGCGAGTCCAAGGCCAGCCTGAACTGCATAGTGAAATCCTACCTCAAAACGATAAATAAATACATAGAAGTTATCATATCAAAATATGTGTAGATAATAATAGCATAGACTCAGAAGACTGTTGTGAGGATTAAATACAATCATCTGCAAAGAGCTTTCAAATATAGTAAGCATTCAACAAAGAATGGTGGAATGAATTACTATACAAGGATTTATGGTGGTGGTGCACACCTTTAATCCCAGCACTTGGTAGGCTGAGGCAGGAGGATCATTGCGAGTTTGAGACCAGCCTGGGCTACAAAGTAAGCTCAAGGACAGCCTGAACTGCAAACTGAGACTCTGTCTCAAAAAAAAAAAAGATTTGCTTCGTAATTGCAGAGTAGGTGAAACTAGGGAGAACTCCAGAGCTGCTCAGTTGTAAAGTCTCCTGGTTTCTGCTAAAGGATTATTTGTACATACAGCACAGTGGCCAGTAGCTAAGGAGTGTAGGCTTGGAACCAGATTGCCTCAGTTTAAATCCTATCATTCTCCCTTTTTCTGAAACAGGGCCTCAATATGTAGTCCAGACTGGAACTGTGTAGCCTAGGCTCACATAGAACTTGTGGTGATACTCCTGCCTCAGCCTCCTGAGTGCTGGGATTACAGGCATGTGCCATCTTGGCCGGCCTATCTCTATTTCTTACCAGCTATGAAGTTCTGAACCAAACACCTAATTTCCTTAAATCTCAGTTCATCCTATAAAACTGGGAATAACAAAATCAATCAGCTAAATGGTAAAAGGCGAAAGATTTATCCGACCTGAAGAGAAACCAGAGTATCAATCACCTATTTGGGAGGATTAAATCAGCTAGTACATAAACCACTTATGACAGTGCCTGCTGCTAGCTAGTAAACACCCAGCATTTCTTAGTTTCCCTCCTTTCTGTGACAAGTTTCAGGGGGAGACTCCAAACAGTAAGAGATGTCTGGCACTGCAGCAAGTAAGAATCACAGAAACGACAGTGGATGGCCAACAAGCCCCAGAGGGATATGTCATCTCTGGAAGGGTAAAACCCAGAGGACCATAGACAGCAGCTGTGAAAACACATGTATCAGACACAGCTGTGGACATGAGAGCAACATAAAAACAAGAGTGATCATTCTCCGAAAACCAAATGCGCTTCTGAGCCAGGAAAAGTGGGCCACAGCAGGTCAGTGCTCCACAGTGATGATGGCTCCGATGGTATACCACTAAGAGTTGTCCTGTACAGGGCCAAGTGACTGCCAGAACTCAGGATGAAGGGTGGAATGGTAATCACAGCCTCTCACAGGCCATCTTGAGAGCTCAGCATTTCTCCAAACACTTTCTGGGCTGCCTAGAGAGGGAAGCCAAGTCCTTTGAGCTCTAGATGCCAGGGCAGCAGCAGTGATTTACTTGATACTAGCTTACTTCACAGCACAGGGCTTTTTTGCTTTTAAGAGACAGGGTTTACTGACTGTGTTCCAAGGGTGGCCTCAAACTCTTGGAGTCAAGATCAAGAGATCCTTCTGCCTCAGCCTGTTCAGTAGCTGAGGCTCACACCTCTGTCCCTGGCAGGGCAGGGGAGGGCTCTTAACTTCAGCGCTGTAGGCAGATCTCATAAGAGTAGCATTTTTTTTTTTCCTTTTAGCACTAGGGACTGAACTAAGGGCTTTCACTAAACTACAATGTCAGCCAAAGGGTTGCTTTTTATGGAAAACTCAAACTCTTGGGGCTAGGGATTTAGCTCAGCGGCACAGC